TCGGGCGGTGATAGAGGGTGCAGGGCCCCCAGGAAGCTCAGTGCAGGTCCTTCTCCTTTGGGCTGGGGCAGAAGGAGCCAGGGAGGCTTCCTGGAGAAGGTGGTACCTAAGTACATTTTTTTTAAAGAGAAGGGGTCTCACTATATTGTCCAGGCTGGTCTCAAACTCCTGGGCTCAAGCAATTCTCCCACCTCAGCCTCCCAAAGTGCTGGGATTATAGGTATGAGCCACCACTCCTGCCAAGTAAGTCTTAAAAAGGTGAGTAGACGGCCGGGCGCGGTGGCTCAAGCCTGTAATCCCAGCACTTTGGGAGGCCGAGACCAGTGGATCACGAGGTCAGGAGATCGAGACCATCCTGGCTAACACGGTGAAACCCCGTCTCTACTAAAAATACAAAAAACTAGCCGGGCGAGGTGGCGGGCGCCTGTAGTCCCAGCTACTCAGGAGGCTGAGGCAGGAGAATGGCGTAAACCCGGGAGGCGGAGCTTGCAGTGAGCTGAGATCCGGCCACTGCACTCCAGTCCGGGCTACAGAGCAAGACTCTGTCTCAAAAAAAAAAAAAAAAAAAAAAAGGTGAGTAGACGTTAGCTCCTGACAAGTAAGCGGGAAGGAGGACATCCTAGGACAAAGACAACACTCATGCAAAGGCTCAGAGGCAAGAGAGAACGCGGCTTGCTCAGAAAACAGGGAGTGGTTTGGTATCGCCAGTTTTAGGTGTGAGACGCACCACGGTGAGAGATGAGGCTGGAGCAGTGGGTAGGAGCTGATGTTGGTTTTCATCCCTTGGTAAGGACAGGTCCCAGGAGTGGGGTGACAAATGAGAGCAGCAACTTAGGGAGAGCCTGCCAAACTGTGGTATGCGGGTGTGAAGAGAGGAGGGCCGAGGACAGGAGGACGCCTGGTCGGTGGGTGGCAGTGACTGCGATGGGAGGGGGAGGCAGGGGTGAGTGGGTGACTGCGATGGGAGGGGGAGGCAGGGGTGAGTGGGGAACGTAGGACTCCAGGCAGCTGCATGAGGGGGCGCTGAGGATGACTCTCTGGGTTGGAGGCTACTGACACCATTTGCTGGCATGGTGGCTACACAGGAGGGCAGGTGGCCAGATGCCCTCTCCATTTAATGGGGTTGCCTGTTAATCCACCATGGGGTGGGTGAATGGGGCCCACGGCCTTACAGCACTTGCAGGGTTAGGGTTCACATCACCACCTGCCGAGGGGTGGCCACGGGCCCCTAGCAACTATCCCATTGCCTTTAGCACCCGAGTGTGGCGCTCTCCACATGTCTCCATGCCCCCTCCCCACAGGAGCCCCTATAGCATATGGACTGGGGGCTGATGGGCAGCCTGAGCAGGACAGTCTCAGAGGGACTCCCAGGGCGATTCCAGGGACCCCAGGCATGGGCCCAGGGACCCTGGGGAGTCCTTCAGGACACACCTAGCATTCCCTTTGACCAGAAGCAAATTTCCCTGGGTCAGGAAACTCACTCAACAGCCTGCTCAACCGTTGGGGTTCCCAAGACTCAAAGTTTCCCTGTGCCAGTGTTTCACAGGGCTCTGGTGACGCAGGTGGAGCCACATCCAGTTAGGTCAGGAACTGGTGCATCCAGGCATCAACTGCCTGGGATAGACTCGCACTGGCCTGAGGTCTGGACAGCAACCCCAGGGGTCCCTGACTGATATCCAATGCTAGGGGCTTCTCGGGGCCTGGGAGGGGGATGAGAAGGGCAGGGCACTCTCAGGGGCCAGGTGGCAGCGGCTCGCCCACCAGCCAGCACTCGAGCATTCACTGCTTTAACTATGAGCCACATCCAGTGGTGACATCAGAGGTCTCCATCCACACCCTGGGGGGAGGGGGGTGTCCCCAAAAGACAGGCTTCATTTCCCAGCACACAAGCATAGCACAGGGGTGGAGCGCCTGCCGTCCCATCTGTGTGTCATCCCCACACCTCCTCAAATCATGCCTCAGGTTTGCATTCCCTGGGGGCATCTGGGAAGCCCACTTAGTGATCCAGGCACCGCTTCTTCTCGGTCTCAGACTGACCCCTAGGGGACAGCTAAGACACAGCAGGGCGCCGGGGGCCGGGCCTGAGAAATTCGGACCTGCCCCGTCTGGCCCACTCTGACACCTCATCTGCAGAGCTGGGGTCTTGACCCTGCTACTACAGGAGCCTGAGCCAGGAAGGGGACTCATTCACAACCCAGAAGCCGTCCGCTCCGTCAGGCTGGTCTTCGGATTGTGCCCCCTTCCTCTCCCTGCCAACACGCAGGAGCCCATGGTAGGGAACGGAGCCCAGGTCAACCAAGCAGCCCCAGCGAGTATAATGAACAAGGCTGCCACTGTGTCCCCACCTACTGCCATCTCACTAGGCTGTGGTCGCCCAAGCCGGGGCCAGGCCTCCATGGAGGGCAGAAAGCACGAGAAGCTTAAAACCCAAAGCAACAAACACCTATAGGCTTGCAAAGTCCCATGAACAAATGAGGAGAAGCACCAGGCTTGCTGAGACAGGCTGATGCGGTCTTTCTTTCTACTTTCCCATAACCTCTAGACTTTGGAGGAAAACAATATCAGTTTACAAAAAAGAGTACGTTGGTGGAGGCCCGCTCTTCTGTGCCCCCTGCTCACCTTTTCTCCACGTGCCATCTTTTCCAGAGGTGCGAATGGCAGAATGTGGGGGCCACAAAAGCAGCCAAAGACTGCAGGGAACACGCCATCCCTACCCGCATTCCCCACCCACCCCAGGCCTCGGCTCCGCTCTGCCCTGCAGTTCTTGGGGCAGGGCTTTACTTTGACATAATTTTGCAACACCAGTATCCAAAGGTAAACTGAAAAATGCAAACGGTAACTTCAGCACTATTTTCTTACAGCAGCAGGCGGTGAGGAATTAGCACATATTAGGGGTCTGTCTTCCCACTGAACTTTCACAGCAGACCCTCCAGATTGGCGTGGCAAGCCCTGTTTTACAGCTGAGGACACTGAGGTTCAGAGCGGTTGAGAAGAATGTGCTCGGGTTCCATGGCCTGTCCTGGGTGGCCCACGTGGGTGTGGACCCAGTCCTGCACACCTCCACATGCTGCCTCCTGCTCAGCAATCCAGGAAGGGCCTCCCCACAAACTTCCTGGGAAACTCAGTATTTGTCCCACAGTAGGGGTCCTCTGCCCTAAGCCTGGTTCCATTAGCTGGCCCCAAATACATATTCAACTCCTCCTTGCTGGACCCATCAAGACAGGCCTGGAGCCACCACTGCTGGCACAGGCACAGGCCTGGAGCCCAGCTATCTCCACGCATCCCTGAGGGCTCTTGCTTTGAGCACAGCAGCCTGAGGCCTAGCCACAGTTGGTGCCTGGCTTTGGTCTCTGCCGCCGTGGACTGGCAGCCCTCAGCACTGTGTCCCTCTCTGTGGACTGTCCCTCCTCCAGTCCTGCCCAGGGAACCCAACCCTGGCCCTACGACCCAGCTGGATTCCAAAAGGCCTACCATCAGCCAAAGCGGCCTCTGGGGTCCTGGATCTCCTTCAGCTATAAACATACTCATGTTTTGGGGGCCGGAGGAGGCACCCATCAGAACTGGGGAAAAGGATTGGGGGTTGGACTGGGTGAGAAATCAGAATCATTCTCTTCTAGTTTTGGGTGTCGCCACCAGGAGGGACCTCGCTGGCTGTCAGCTTGTGCACCTTAAACGATTTCTCTGTAGGATGAAGCTGCACTGTTTGGAAAACTAGTTCAAAGTTTTATAAGAAACACACCATTAGGTGATGACAACAGTAAAACAGAGCCTTGGGGACTGTGGTCTTTGTCCCACTTCCTGATACAGAGCTTCAGGATGGGGCTGATCACCAGAAAGACCAAGCATACAATGAGGTGGGAACTTCCTCACCTTCCCACCTACCCCCAACCTCCAGGCACAGGAGACGGGCTGGAGACCGGGTTGTAAAAACTGTTTTAGGTTTGGAGATGAGTCTGGCTCTGTCACCCAGGCTGGCTGGAGTGCAGCAGCACAATCACAGCTCACTGAAGTCTCAAACTGCTGGGCTCGAGCGCTCCTCGCACCTCAGTCTCCCCAGTAGCTGGGACTACAGGTGTGCACTGCCACATCCAGCTAATTTTAAATTTTTTTGTAGAGACAGGGTCTCACTATCTTCCCCAGGCTTGTCTCAAACTCCTGGGTTCAAGCTGTCCTCCTGCCTCAGCCTCCCAAAGTGCTGGGATTACAAGCATCGGCCACCACGCCAGGCCTACAAATTCTCGAACAATGAGATGCAGAGAGCCTGGGTGCTGGTAGCACAGTGATGTGCTGGGAGGCAGTGTCCCTGAAGGTACGGAAGCTCTGCACCCCCGCTCCCCATACCCTGTCTTGTACATCTCTTCCGTGTGGCTATTCCTGAGTTGTACCCTTTGTAATACGCTGATCATTGTAAGTACAACCATTTCCTGAGTGTTTCCGGTGAATTACCCAGCCTGAGACAGGGGGTCCTGGGAACCCCGTGTTTGCAGTTATCCAGGAAGAACCGCAGCTGCCATGGGAAGTGGGGCAGTCTCATGGGGCTGGCCTTGACTCGTGGAGTCTGTGCTAATGCTGGGTAGTTAGTGGCAGGTGGAACTCACTGCTGGACACCAGTTAGTGTCAGAGAATTGGAGAATTCATTGTTGTTTGAAAACAAACAGGAAGCGTTCACCTCAGAGAGCAATGGTGCAGGAGAAAAGGAAACAATTCCAGTCCTGCCTCCCCTCTACTTGTCACTTTCCCTGTCTGGACCTCAGTTTCTCCTCCGTGCCACAGATGGGGAACAAAGTTGCTGGGCGGGGACCCCCAGCTGTTACACACTCTGCTGGGGCTTCCCAATGGGGCCTCAGGGCTCCTGTTCCAAAAACTATTTCTTGACTTTGATGCTCAAGAAGGGTCCTCAGAGGGAGGTTCTGGATCCTCCCAGATACTGAAAATGGAGCAAAGGCGAGACCAAGGAGGAGGCAGAGCCATGGAGGTCCTAGAGGTCCCCCAAGCCTTACCTGCTCCACGCAGTCTGGGATCTCTGGCGCGCACGGCAGAGTCCCGGCGCTCTCCACCGATAGCACATCCTTCAGAAGCTCCTCGCACCCTGTGCAGACAGGCAGACACAAGGGACGGTGAGAGGTTGAGCCTCAGCCTGGGACGGCTGCTCTGCTTCTAACTAATGGGCATGGGGCGGGAAGGGCTGAGGTGGGGTCCCAAGGCTCCAGGAGGCCAGCTGAGCATTGGAAGGGATGGAGCCCAGGCGGTGGGGAACTCGGCTCAGGGCACTGTGCAGGGAGCTGCAAGAGGCCTTGTCCTCTGGGACTAACTCCCACACGCAGAGGGCAGGCTGGGGACACAGAGAAGAAGGAGGCCTTCCTGGGGGAGGGGACCTAAGGCAGTGCTGCCCACTTGGCTCACAGGGACTCCTAACAACTCTGCCAGCCTCTGGAGAAAGCAAACACACCCAATTCTCTGAGGCTGGGCGCCCTCTGCGTTCTGCAGACCCTGGGACATCCAGGACAGGGCTGCTCCAGGACAGCTCCAGTTCCTGCTGACTCTGCACATGGCTGGCCTCGCTCCTGAGTTCCCAACCAAATGCCCCAACATTGTACTGAACACGGGAGGGGGACCTGACAAAACGCCTGGCACAGGCACATGGCAGGTGCAGCCTGCAGTGGCCCATTGTCAAATCCACGCAGAAAACCTTCCCTGGGTGCCTTCTGTGTTCTGTGCCCCCTGCACCGTGTATTCGTTTCCCTTCATCCCTCACCCTGCATCCTTCCACCCTCCCAGGGTTCACAGGCACCCCACAGAAAAGGGCTCACCTTGATCTGAGCCACAGACAGGAAACCACGGCTTCCTTTACAGATAACCAGACACCCTGGGACTCCAGAAGTGACTGCATTCTCTCTGCAGCTAGTGGGGAGGCCTTAGCAAGCCCACCTGGCTGGTGATCTATGCCACTGTCTCAGATTTTTTTCTTTTCTGAGACAGGGTCTTACTCCGTTACCCAGGCTGGAGTGCAGTGGCATGACGTCAGCTCACTGCAGCCTTGACTTCCTGGGCTCAAGTGATCCTCCCACCTCAGCCTCTCAGGTAGCTGGGACCACAGACACACACCAGAATGCCCAGCTAATTTTTCTGTATTTTTTGTAGAGATGAGGTTTCGCCATGTTGGCCAGGCTGGTCTCAAACTCCTGGACTCAAGTGATCCACCTGAGATCAAGCGATCTGCCTGCCTCAGCCTCCCAAAGTGCTGGGATTACAGGTGTGAGCCACCGTGCCTGGCCTTCACTGTCTCAGATAAACAGCTTAGTAGTGAGTGAGTGGCCATATTCTGATTCCTGCAAGTTTCTCACAACTGGCCTTTGAATTTTTGGGACAAGACAGAGGGATTTATAGTGTCCCCCTAAAGCTGGAAGGGGGAGCAAGTAAAAAAGGCAGGAATTAGGAAGAATTAAGAGGAAGAGAGGGCAGGGCATGGAGGCCGATGCCTGTAATCCCAGCACTTCGGGAGGCTAAGGTGGGAGGGCCACTTGATCTCAGGAGTTCAAGACCAGGCTGGGCAACGTGACGAAACTCCATCTCCACTTAAAATACGAAAATTAGCCCGGCGTGGTGGTGTACCTCCTGTAGTCCCAGCTACTCAGGAGGCTGAGGCAGGAGGATTGCTTGAGCCCAGGAGGTTGAGGCTGCAGGGAGCCATGATAGTCGTACTGCGCTCCAGTAGCCTGGGTGACAAAGCCAGACCCTGTCTCAAAAAAAAAAAAAAAAAAAAAAAAAATTGGAGGTGGGAGCAGGGAGGACACAAAAGCAGCTCAGAGACAGGCAGGCAGTCCGTGACCAGCACTTTGTCCAGGTTTGCCCAGGAGACTCCTTGGGTTTGGTCATCCCAGAGCGGGAGACAGAGAAAGAGGACAGAAAAGCAAGGAGGGAGGCTTTCTCTAGAGGCAGGCAGACAAGGGGAAGGGCAGAAGTGACCTCCATGGGTGAGACCACAGCCCCCACGGCTGGGGCGACTGTGTCCTTCCTTCTGCCCCCCGGGAAGCCAGAGGCAGAACCGACTTCTGGCCCATCCTGGGCTCTGGGACCCCTGTGGGGAGGAATCCAGGCTGGGTCCCAGCCACACCAGCTTCCCCAGCTGGGCAGGGCCTAAAGCACGTGGGAAAGCCTCCCCAGAAGGCCTCACCTTTCATGGCGAACACCCCCCGGCAAAAGTCCTTGAAGTTGATTCTCCCCAGGTCGTTGGGATCCAAATATTTCACAAGTTTTTCCACCTGTGGGAAGGAAGCAAGGACAGGTGTGAGACACCCAAGGATCACCCGAAGACGCAGGGAGCTGGGACGAGGAGGCCGAGAGAGAGGGAGGGACACCAGTGTCCCCGCCCCATCCTCTCCCCTCACCCTGGGGTCAGTATCGGCCACGGGGCCACTTTATTCTCCCCGTGGTGACAGACAACTTGGGCGAGGAAAAGCAGAGCCAACACCAGCTCCCCCATGAGCGCACGGCTTCAGGGGCCGAGCCTCCTTCCCCCAGGGGCTGCACACTGAAAGCCAAGGCTCTGCCAATGTTTTAAAATTGGTTTCTTTCATACAAAACAGACACAAACGCATTGTAGAAGACCTAGAAACCCCACCGTTTCTCTTGTTCTATTTCTTGTTCTAGGCACTGGCTAGATGGGGAAACTCACTGAGATGGACACTGGTGGCTGATGTACTTTTCGTTCTATTTGTACCTTGCACTTCAATAAAGAGTGTTACATGAATGAGGAAGTAAGTTTTCACCTGGCAGAGTCAGACATCCCTGAGGTTGGAGTTTCTCTCCCGTGTAATAGTAAGTAGGACAGAAACAGTTTCCATGCTGCTTGGTGTGTACAACCCACATTGTTAGTGGCTGTAACATATTCTGCCTGGTAGGTTCATCATAATCTACTTCACCACCCCTAATAGCTGGGCATTTTGGTTATTTCCAGCTTTTTGCTTTTATAACTCATCTTTGGGGGTTCCTGCAGCTGTGTGGATGAACCATCAACCCCCGGTCTCTCAGATTCTTGACTTTCTTATTGCCTCATATTCCACCTCAGGCACCAAGTCCCTTGGTTCACCCAGTCATCACCCCCTCCAATCCCACCCATCCGAATGTCCCACTCCCTGACCCCATCCTCCCTCCCTTCCTGCCACTGCAGGGTTCTTCGGCATCACTGGGTCTGCTCACTTTCACTCACGTCCAATCCATGCCGTCACTGTATCCCACAGCTCCCTATTTCCCACACCACCCCAGGGGCCCCACCTGGTCATAGCCATCATCCTCTCTCTCCTGGACCATGCAAGTCTAACTGGATCATGTCACCCACTCCTCTGCTTAAAACCTTCCAGTATCATTCCACCACACTTAGGATAAAAATCCAAAGTCCACAGCACAGCCCATGAGGCTCCATGCGATCTGACCCCTTCCACTCCCTCTCTTCCCATGCTCTTCATCACTCACTGTACTCCAGCCATACTGGCCTTTGGTCAGCTCCTCAAGCAAACCACCACACTCTTCTCTGCCCCAGGGCCTTTGCACACGCTATTCTCTGTATCTTGCACAGCTGTCCTCCCCATTCATCATGTCAGTTCATCCTTCAGGTCTCCCTTTGTACCTGTATGAAACGTCCCTCCCCAAGACAGGTCTGTCCTGACCACCCGCATCGATTCAGGACCCACCCTGCTGCTATACTGTCTTGTAGCATCCTATACTTTCCCTTCAAACTATTTGTTGCAACTTGCTATTGTTAACTAAAAAGAGATTGACATGGAGGGTTTATTTGGGAAACAAAGAATTGCAATTCTTTGTTTGGGGGAGGGGGCAGCTGCAATGCTGAGGAGGCTGGCAAAAAGTCACTTTCCTCCTTCACTGAAATTTTGCATGTCTTTCCTGAGAGTCCACTAGGTACCAGGTTCAGGGGGGTTCACAGAAAGAATGTGGCACGGCCCCGCTGCCCTTCCCTCATCCCAGACTCACACCAGAGTAGAAGGTACAAGGGATCAGGATAGCCCTGAAGAGCGTCCCAGGAGGTAAGTGGAGGAGAGGATTCTTCTTTTTTTTTTTTTGAGACGAAGTCTCGCTCTGTTGCCCAAGCTGGAGTGCAGTGGCGCGATCTCAGCTCACTGCAACCTCTGCCTCCCAGGTTCAAGCAATTCTCCTGCCTCAGCCTCTCCTGAGTAGCTGGGATTACAGGCACCTGCCAACATGCCCAGATAATTTTTGTATTTTTAGTAGAAAGGGGGCTTCACTATGTTGGCCACGCTGGTCTCCAACTCCTGACCTCAGGTGATCCGCCCACCTCGGCCTCCCAAAGTACTTGGATTACAGACATGAGCCACCGTACCCGGCCAGGAGAGGACTTTTTACGGAGGATTTCTACAGAAAGTTGTTTTCAGAGGCAGCTCATTGGCTGGGCAGAAATCCTAGATTGCAAAGCCTTTCTGACTGGTGAGCTAGTTAGGGTACTCGCAGCTGAGAAATGCTGGAGGCTGGCAGATCACGACCTCGGTTGCGCATCCAAGTCTTTTGGGATATTGTGTGGCTTGAACTTTAGCAGGCGTGAGTATCTCCCGACCTCACTGCAGAAAGTCTTAGCCTTAGTTTCTCCATATTCTTTCATGTAGTTGTATGTGTGTGGGATAATTTGATTAATTTATATCTTCTCTCTACAAAGTAAGCTCTCTAAGGGCAAGCACCCTGTCAGTTCTGATCACCACTGTATACCTGGTCGCTTGCACCATGACTGGTACATGGTAGAGGCTTCATAATATTTGTTTTTGCTCACACCTACAATCCTCTCCAAGGTCAGGGCTCTGCCTTCAAGGCGGAGATTGCAGTGATCCAAGATCACGCCACTGCACTCCAGCCTGGGTGACAAGAGTGAAACTCTGTCTCGGAATAATAATAATAATAATAATAATAATAGTAATAATAATAATATATATTTTTAAGAGCCAGGTCCTCACGCTATTGCCCAAGCTGGAGTGCAGTGGCAGGATCATAGATCACTGCAGCCTCATATGCCTGGGCTCAAGGGATCCTCTCACCTTAGCCTCCCAAGTAGCTGGGACTACTGGCACGCCACCACGCCTGGCTCAGAAGCCTGCTTTTAAATCTAAAACTGCTTCTAAAACTTAGTGGCAGCCCTCCCACAGCACCCATACAAGCATTCATTCATTCATTCATTCATTCATTCATTCATTCATTCATTTACTTATTCAACAAGTGATGACTGAGCACCTCTTACATGCCGGGCACTCTTTCAGGGGTTGATGGTGGTAGGTGCTGGTTCTGCTGGCTAGCCACACATACACAATAGTGCACACACATGTGTACCTGCTCACATTCCTTGTGACGTATGTGATGTGTACCTGCTCACATTCCAAGATGTATGTGTGTGGGATAATTTGATTAATGTATATCTTCTCTCTGGCCGGGCGCGGTGGCTCAAGCCTGTAATCCCAGCACTTTGGGAGGCCGAGACGGGCGGATCACGAGGTCAGGAGATCGAGACCATCCTGGCTAACACAGTGAAACCCCGTCTCTACTAAAAAATACAAAAAAATAGCCGGGTGAGGTGGCGGGCGCCTGTAGTCCCAGCTATAGGGAGGCTGAGGCAGGAGAATGGCGTGAACCCGGGAGGCGGAGCTTGCAGTGAGCTGCGATCCGGCCACTGCACTCCAGCCTGGGCGACAGCGCGAGACTCCCTCTCAAAAAAAAAAAAAAAAAAAAAAATGTATATCTTCTCTCTACAAAGTAAGCTCTCTAAGGGCAAGCACCCTGTCAGTTCTGATCACCACTGTATACCTGGTCGCTTGCACCATGACTGGTACATAGTAGAGTATGGAGTACATACTCCATCTTGCCGCTCCCCCTAATAATTACCATCAGTATCTATAGCACAGCCAGGCCAGGATGAGCTCTCTCCAGAATCTGCTCAGGCTGGGCTGCAGGTGATGGATCTGAGGGCACCTGGGGCCTGCAGAGCACAGCATGCAGGAAACGGCTTACTGTCACTGTTGTCAGTGTTCACGCCCTTACAGGCAGACTCACCAGCACACCACACCGCCCATAACAGGCACCGAAGCCAAACCACGTTGGGGATTCATCTATTTATAGGGACCATGTTTTTCTTGCATGCCCACAGCGTGGCAGCTGCAGCAGGGGTCTGAAGCCCTGGTCACTGCCGGTGGCCTGGCACCACGGGGCTGTGCCCAGTGGGCTTTGGAAGGTGAGCAGTGGACAAAGAGGGCCCCACCCTAACCATCTTCTCCCTGCCTGGAACCTGGAAGCTCTGTGCTTGCATCTTGATTCCGGCTGACCCTGCTTTTCCACTCTGGTGTGAGTCTGGGATGAGGGAAGGGCAGCGGGGTCGTGCCACATTCTTTCCGTGAACCCCCCCTGAACCTGGTACCTAGTGGGCTCTCAGGAAAGATCTGTAAAATTTCAGTGGAGGAAAGTGGTTTTTTGCCAGCCTCCTCAGCATTGCAGCTGCCCCCTCCCCCAAACCATGCCAGCCTCTGACACTGCCAGGCAATGACGTGACTTCTGAGAATAGCAATGCCCAGGTGCCACCTGTAGGGCTGCAGGGGAGCCCACCCACCATCCCAGCTGGCATTCTGCCTCCTCTCGTCCTGCCTTCACATCGCTGGCATTATAGGGGGTCTGTGAATGTGGGCATGGACCAGGGCACCCTCTACCCTCAGCCTCCCATGCTCACACCTACAATCCTCTCCAAGGTCAGGGCTCTGCCTTCATTATTTCTGAAGCAAGTCAAGGGTGGAGTCAGCCACAGAGTGCTGCCTGACTGATGAGGACCCCCACCTCAAGTCCACCTAGGAGGCAGGAGTGCAGGGATTTGGATTCTGTAATCTGTGTCCACAACTCCCTGGGGCTGGGAGACACTGGCGGGTGAGCTGTCCATTCCTCTGCCAGCAGAAGCCTGCCTGGACAGAGGTGGGGGTGGGGTTGTTTGATGACAGGCAGATAGATGGGGTGCTGAGGGCCACTGCATGTTCCCCGGAGCACCCGAGCCATGGCCCAGGCTGTGACCTCTCTACAGCTGCTCTCACAGGGCTCTTCAAAGAGCTACAGCCCCAGAGTGGTGGCCACAAAAGTGCCAGGCCAGCCGGGCATGGTGGCTCACGCCTGTAATCCCAGCACTTCAGGAGGCTGAGGTGGGTAGGTCACCTGAGGTCAGGAGTTCAAGACCAGCCTGGTCAACATGGAGAAACCCCCATTTCTACTTAAA